GCACGAATTCTGGGGCAGGCTTTGAATGCTCTCTGGGCCAGAAATCTGAATTTAACTGGTCAGGGTTGGGGCAAGAAGTCTTCATCTTTTCAAAAATACCATCAGTTCTGCTTGGTTAGATTTTACTTTGAAGGTGTTTAATAGGGTGCCCTGGCTGAGAGAGGACCCCAAAGTTCCTGATACCTTAATGAGAGAGAGCAGGAGGGCAGGGTAGGGATGCACAAAAAATGCATTGTTGTTTAATGTACCAAAAATGTTCATAATTCCCATCAGCAAATGCTGTTTTCCTTGAGCAAAATTATAAGATGGGCCATTGGTTACAAAGCTGTATACAGAGGACAGATATCTACCCATCTTCTTAGGGGAAGCTGTGAAATCCCCCTTAACCCAAAAAGCAGATGTTGAGTTGTTCCTGTTTGGAAATACATACTGCTGTGTTTAAGCTCATTTTTGTCTCTGGCTCTTGTTGTCTGTCTCTTGGTGGGGGAAGGTGGGAGTGGGTAGAGGTCAGCCAAGGAAATGCTAGGGGAGGGGGAAGGTTTCGCTGGAGTTTGGGTGCCTCCAAGTGTTGAAGAGGAGAGGAGAGAAGCTAAAGGCGCTGCTTAGGTGAGAGGCTTTGTGAGACTTCTAGTCTAAGTTGTTGTGCTTTTGAGACAAGGGGCCAACAGCACAGAGCTGGGGAGATTGCTCCTGTCCCCACATGCACGCAGGCCTCAGAGCCTCTCTGGTATGTTGGGGAGTGCTGGTTTTAGGAATATTGAGAAATAGTCCCTTAAGCAGAAGCCCTCAAGCACTGAAAACTATGAAAGCAAGGCTCCTCTATGGGGCTGGGGGTCAGAGCCAGAGAGGAAGGACAGGGCTCATGCTGCATGGTCACTGAAAGGGATGGGTTTTGTAAGCTCTTAAGAGGATCACCTCAGGGAATCAAAGAGACAATTTGGGACTTTTGGGGGAGGGCAGGAGGAGGGCTGGATTTCAGGCATAACATCAGAAGTGACAATGCAGAGTTGTCATTTGAGGTAACGAGAAGGGTGACTTTATCAATACCCCAGGATGACGAATAGTGTATACAGTGCTCACATTCTATTGGAACAACATAACAATAAGGATCTGGCAAATAGGCTCTGAACATGAAGATAGCAAGGTAATCTGAGAATTAATGAAACATCCAGGTGATCTGTGACTCATTTTTACTCTTTCTAAATCCACAATACAATTTCAATTTCAATGTAAAAATGCACAATTATCTATTATACCTTCACCTCAATGACTGCAGCCTTTCACTATTCCCAGCCATGCATCTTGCAACACAGTTTAAATACTTAAAGTCCATCAAGGGTGAGCTGTGGAGTTAGCAAGGTCAGCTGGGGTGCTCTTTCTGAGGTTCCTAAGGAATGAAAAACTACAATTGCTTGGTGACACAGAAAAGAATCTCTTCGCAGGGCTATCGCCTCTACACGCTCCGCTCCACATTTTTCATAACAAAGCACTGAAACAAATAATAACAGGAGAATTTTTATCTTTTCCTCTACAGGAAGAATGCCTGAGGAGGCTATTGCACTAGTTAATGTGATTGCACGCTGAATGTCCTAAATTCTCTTCCACAAACACCTCAAGAATATGGTTCAATTATTGGATAAGACTTCTACAACAAATGCCCGAGAAACACAATACATAAAGGAGAAGTTAGAGAGAAAATATCACTCACAGTACGTGTATATAATGTAGCCTATGGTGATGATTTCTTTATCTTTCAGCTTCCTAGCTACTTTAGCTCTATAGTTCTGGCGGGGAGGGGGCAGGGGAGGCTAATAAAGCCCTACAACGGAGCTTCGCGACCCTTCATCCTCAGGTTGCCATGTTTAGACAATGCATGAACACTAGATGGCGCCCATAATCTTAAATATAGTAAAAGGCTGGTTGTTTTTCTTTATAGAGAAGTATGGCTACCTTGTTAGGAAAAGAGTCAAGTATGGGACTCAAGCATTTCCTACTAGTGTTGTCCTGTGAAGTGCTTCTTATGTGAGGGTTTGGTGGTCAAATAAGTTTGGGAAAACACTACCTATGAAGAGACTCCCAATACACACTGGTAAACCAGATGTTTTTCACATATAATAGATATATTGATATATTTGCCTTTAGGTTGTGAATATTTTAAGTACATGATATTTATCTTATTCTTTGAGATCTCAAGTCCTAGTACAAAATCTGTGACAACATTTGCACAGACATTTGCATAAGTCATTAATAAAATAAATTATCTCTAAAGTTTGTATAGTCTGTGTAGAAGAATCATTCTGGAATGCAGGCATGGACATTCTGCCCCTGATTAGAAGGTTAATTATCTCTTAGTCAAGTCTCTTAAGACCAATTGAGGACAGGGACCTACCCCCCAGCTCCTCTCTCTGGGGATTCTAGTTCTCTTTTCTGAACTTACTACATTACTGTTAGCAGCATAAGTTATTTACAAAATAATCTTACATGATCTAGTAATAGAATTTGCATCTAACTCTTGATTGCTATTTAGAGTTTTTGTTCTTGTGTTTTCCAGGAAGGTATAGCTTGTCCTTATACATCTAGTGTAAGCTGTAGATGCAAAATATCATATCCTCCATATTCCATTGTTAATAATTCTGTTCTGCTGCTGTCCTTCCATATTGTAATGTTTGAGTGTTTCGAGCCTGTTTATTCTTTTCTTTCAGTATTAACCATGAAATTCCAATACTGATCTCTGAAACTAGCCAATTTCTAGCTACAGTTTAAATAACTTCTTGCAAACTAAAAAAGAGAAACGTTCCCTCTTCCTTGTCAATTGCAAAAAGGAAATAATATTTTTATCATTGAACTGTCTTTGCAAATGTTATACATAAGAAAGGATAGGGTATCTGAACATCAGAGACTATTATAATATTCTATGGACTCTATGTTGTACACACTCTTGTGATACTGGGCAGTGAGTGTCAATTCCCACTCAGCCACGCCATCACCAAGGTAAACAACTGATACACTTATAACCACTCTGCACCCCTATATAATCATTATTTTCATTTTCAGTACAGTATTCAGTAAATCATATGAGATAGGCAACCCTTATAAATTTTTTTTTTAAGATTTTATTTATTTATTTGACAGAGAGACACAGCAAGAGCAGGAACACAAGCAGGGGGAGTGGGAGAGGGAGAAGCAGGCTTCCTGCTGAGCAGGGAGCCCGATGTGGGACTCG